TATATGAATCAATTATTTTAGTGATTTCATATTCAGAATGAAGTATAACTTTACAAGCATCAATGTTGAAGTACTGGAGGCATCTGTGCAAGTTGCCATTCTCTCCAAGTTGGCTGAGCAATACAATACAATGTACATATACAGTACAACATACAGGGTGCGCCACAGAAACTTACTTATTTGAAAGAATTCCCACGCACTAAGCTGGGCGGGTTGAGGGGCGAGAGGGGGCGCATCTGGAGGGGGAAGTTCCCATGTTTGTTTCTATCCTAATTAGTTACCATCATGATCTGGACTAGAGAGCAGCGGGCCTTCGCAGTCGAAACCTTCATTTCCAATGGTCGCTCACTTGTTGCTACGCAACGCACCTTCCGCGCTCGCTTTGTAATTCCTCCTCAAAAACTCGTTCCTGGCCGAAATTCGATTCTGTCGTGGGTTACCTCATTTCGAGAGTATGGAAGTGTCGCTAAACCCAGAAATGAACGTCAATGGACCATCAGAACTCTGGAAAATTTCGAAAGAGTGAGGCAGTCAGTTATGCGTTCTCCACGGCGTTCGGCTCGCAAACACGCCGCTGCTATGGGAATTTCTGAAACCACTGTTCGACGAATTCTCCAAGAAGACCTTCACTTTCATCCCTATAAATTGGCTGTTGTGCAAGAATTATCTGAACGCTATTTTGTTGCCTGTCAAAATGCATGTGAAATGCTGGTTAACAACCTGCCTGAAGACGCGGTCGTTTTTTTCAGTGACGAGGCTCACTTCCACATTTCCGGCTGTGTCAACAAGCAAAACATGCGTTATTGGTGTGGTGTTAATCCACGAGAGCTTCACCAGAAGCCACTTAACTGCAAGCGAGTTACTGTCTGGTGTGCGATGTCGGCAATGGGAATAATTGGTCCTTATTTTTTTGAAGAAAACGTTCGCGCAGTTACCGTTAATGGAGCTCGTTACAGGAACATGATCGAAGAATTTTTTCTTCCAAGACTCGAAGAAATGAACGTTAGGAACGTGTGGTTTCAGCAAGATGGAGCCACAGCACACACAGCACGAGACTCGATGAATTTGCTGCGACAACATTTCCCTGACCGCCTCATCTCTCTCAGAGGCGATCTTCAATGGCCGCCATGCTCTCCAGATTTGGCTCCATGTGATTTTTTTATGGGGTTATTTGAAATCCCTGGTTTATGGCGATCGACCACGGAACATAGCTCACCTCAAGAACAACATTCGCGATGCCATTGCCAACATACCGATTGATATGCTGCAAAGAGTGGATGTGAATTTAAAAAATCGACTTCATCAGTGTATGCGCATTGGAGGTCGCCATTCATCAGATGTCATTTTCAAGACTGTATGAAAGAAAATTGGGAAATAGTATTCTCAAATAAAACAACAATCAAAACAATATTTCAAGTACTTTTGTTTTTATTGACCTTTCAAATAAGTAAGTTTCTGTGGCGCACCCTGTACTACATGAATTGCAATTCCTGACGTGTTTCAAATACTGAAGAATTGAGAAGTGAAATATATTACTTTCATAGGTTGCAAAATGAAAACAATGACAAAGACTGGCAAAATAACAATGACTTACTTCTGTGGGTTGCACAGGCTACCAGTTAGGACAAGAGAGTTGGGAGCATGTGATGTCACATGCGATACATCATAAAGCAAGTATTTTTAGAAATGTTTAGCGGGCCATTCTTGACTTATGATATGTTTCGATTCTCATTAAAATTTATAAGATAAGATAAGATTTATTTCCTCTTTAAAAAAGAGGAAATTAATGAATAATTAATAATATTAATTTTCTATTATTCATTATGGCCATCCCACTTGAGGGCAGTGGGACAGCCACATGCTCCAATACAAGAGGGGCGGTAGCAAGCGTGGAAAACATCTACCTTTAGGGCAGCGACTAAAGGTTTACCACAATTTCTGGTACCAAAAGATTTCCGCTAGATAAAAAACCTCCTATCCAATTGTTAATAAAAGTGCATGATCGGGCTGCAAGATTCCAAATGTATTAAAAATGTGTCACATTAGAGCCACATGATTTCAGAAACAAGTAGGAAAATTCCAGTCCTGGCTGGCAGCAGCAGCACGCTGGTTCTGCTTTGGTGCAACAATAGGAGCAGGACAAGTCACAAGCATGCTGCTTGGCTGCCAGCTCACCCGTATTGGAGCAGGCATGGAATAAATCTACTTGGCGAGCCACGACAATTTTTTTGAGCTACAGTATTATGGATTTGCCAGCCGCGATTCCATTTTTTTGGCCATGATTCCATTTTATTGAGCAGTGAATTCTATATCTCCGTCAATTCCATATCTCCGAAAAGCCATTTACAAGGCGCAAATTTCTTTACCAAGTCCATGCACATGTTATCCCAAATCTAAAATTTAACCCTAAAACAGTCAACCAGCAAAAATAGCATTTGTCTTTACTGTAAGCTAAGCACATGTTAATGCAGTCTGATGTGACTGCAACTATGCGCTATCTTCAACAAAACGTTTAGGTTGACTTGTTTACATTACGATGATTACATTCTGCAAGATATTTTGGCAGGAACGGTAAAGTAATGCAGATTGCGGATTTTAGGCTATAGCCTACAGATGGTTTTCAAGTTTAGTCCAAATTTCTAGGTAGGCCTATTTAAAATATGTTCATAGGGTAAACGCGGTATATTCCGACACATTAAGGACGCATCAAGAAATTAAAAACTATAAAAAAAACGTATGCGTTACGCAAGTTCTGTTGCCTTCACGTGACTCTCAAAACACTTCACTACGCGTCAGCAATGATGAAACGTCACAAAATGTTGCCATATTTATTAAAAAGCCTTTAGACGTCACCATTTCAACCATCAATGAACGCACGGAACTAAAACAAAGCTTAATATAAAGGAAAAACTAGAGAAGTGACGGAATTACCTACGATGTTGGAATATACCGCGTTTACCCTAACTATAAATCATAGTGACAAAGCAGAGAGTTTTTAAGACTCTCCCTCAAGTTCATTTTTGAGTCCTATAACTAAAGTAAACCAGTAAAGTATCCTGGACACCAGCAGTATCATACTTGAGAAATTGGTTTAAATCAGGATGGAATTCTAATTTCGGAGGTTCATATATTATTTTGATCCACCAAGACCACTTCTATCCAACATCGTTATTTGAGGCAAAAAATGAACTTCTTAAAGGCTTAAAACACGCACGCTAACTTGCTCAGTTTCTATAAAGTACCTAATCACTTGGAAGTTGTAAACCTGCACC